AGCTCCTACATAAGTTTACTACTTATCGTAAAAATATTTCACTTTTATTCAGGACTAAGTCCAATACCAAATATAGTTGGTAAATATAGGTTACCATTGAATCTTCCTCTCCACATTCATCGGGCAAGCCATTTGAAATCCGTAATCGGCATACATTCCGGCATGCTTTATTTACGGTCGAACATCTAGCTAGCATTTCATCAAGTAATCTCTAACCTGTAAAGTGGTTGCGGTCTAAGGCGAAATAATCTTCCATTACCTACATATAAATTACGATCCAATGTTCTGAGAATGCGTCAAAAACTCGACAAATCGACGCTGTTGTTCGGTTGGAATTCGCCACACTGACTCAAAGCCAAGAAACGTGTGATAACGGAAAGAAATCAATCTCATTTATCGTTGGTAAAAATAAGTTTTCTAAGTCAAACTCGATCCTCAAGCAATTGATTAAGTATAAAGTTTCAAAATCGTGAAACACCATAGGCAATAAGTCCTCTTAAAATGAAAAATTCAGTTAAAAATTGTATACAAACCTGAAAGAAGCGTCCGTAAGCTGAAGCCACAATGTGTGATGTCGTGAGGGTTTGCATTTGAAAATAGCGGTGTTGATCCATTGACCAATCATGTTGCAGGACCAAACTCCTCCTCAGGTCACCACGGACAGGTTGCTACTCTTATAAAACCCCAGGTTTGATTGGATAGTTGATCACAACGCTGGACCAATCATAATCACTGTAATATACAACTGTGTTCCTTTTCTTTTTGTGTTCAAAATGGAGGCTTTGTATGGAATACCCTTTCACATTTTGGAAGTACCTAACTTAAAACTAAAGAAGCCAGGATGGGTGAAACCTCCCTCAGCTATGGTCGTCTTCGCCTTTGTTCTCCTGTCGTATTTTTTGGTCACTGGAGGTAAGCTCTGGTATTCGATTCCTCATCAATGCCTCATCGCGAGAAGGCTAGAATGGTCTAAAAAATAAAATTCCATGTAGTGATCGAAACAACTAATTCATAAAACATGTCTGGATTCTTCTTATACTTTAAGGCTCGTGGGAAAATCCAACAGTGTTTTTGAAGGTCGTCAAAAGTGCAATCACTAACTTTAGAAGCTCAGTGGATAAAGTTAAATGGATCAGTTGATGCGACTAACATGTCTAGGTTAGCTGGAGATACAAGCTTACGTGGCACTAAGAAAAAGATTAAATGAGCGTTAATATGATTGAGCCCACATCAATGCAGAATATTCCTCTGTAAATTTCTTGTAGTAGTTTCAAAATTAACTAATTAAATGCACATTTAGTGTAAGTAAAATATTTTCTTTTTCACTTTGAAGGATATAAGCTTAATAATAACAAACAAAAGTAAAATGCTGACTAACTTGTCGAAATACTCAGGGACTGATTGATTTATAGTCTAAGAGATAAGTTTTTGCAGCTCCCGTTTTTTCTAGGAATTGGGCATGTCATAATGCCTTGTGAATCTGATTATTTGATCCATTCCTTTCGTATTTTTCTGATTGGCTTAATTTGCATTTCATCCTAAAATTTGCAAGTGTAATAATGATAATATAATGATAATGGTAATGGTTTACGAGAAGAGTTTCCACATGAATTGGCCCTTCAGCTGCTGAATACCCACAAATATCTAGGGAGTCACCTTGACTATTCACTGGTTTAACATGATTGTGCTTATGTTGCTCTTGAAAGGGAACATTGTACATTGTGGACTGCAATTCCTAAGAGTGATAATTTTGTCAACTCAACTGTCCCTCATCAATGACTTGCTCATAGAAAACTTGCAGGCAAACAAATTATACTCGCAGATGGTTTATTGCTGGGTTTTGTTGAAGAAGATACAGGCCTAGGTTCCAGTGTTAATTAATATAAATGCGTGGGAGTCTTCTTTAATGTAGCATCTGCCTTTTAGGACAACTTTTACTTTTTCTGAGTCTGAATTTCTGAAGTGTGTGGGACTGTGTACCATACCACATGATTTCTTGTTATTATAGCAATAAACCACCTGCAAATATATTTGATTTGACTGCATGAAGTTTGCAGGGAGTATTGACAAAGTCTACCTTGCAGGTATCATCTATGATGTGATTGTGGAACCACCAAGTGTAGGAAGCACAACAGATGAGTTTGGTCACAGTAAACCAGTAAGTTTTAGTGTAGACACTGACACTGAATAATTTTTAATGCAGCACTCATTGGATCCATCTCATCTCTTGGTAGGAATATCGATCCTGACATTCACATTTTTAGTGGACAAAGAAGACCCAGTGACAGATACAACTCACCAAATATTAGACTTGTAATAAGCAAGTAACAATATTGTGCCATGGAAATGTAAAGAGAAATTTGACATGATGTTGTCCCAGTAAAGGAGAAGTTCCCAGAAGTTACAAGAAGGGTCCTTGAATGTCGGACAAATTGATCCACTGTGAATGCAGTTTTTCCAGGCTGCTTTGAGTACAAGGTCGAGACCTTGTACTAGGGCACGGGCACTATGTTTGAATTCTGGCGTGAGTACCTGGTAAAGGGTGTGTTCACATTAGTGCCCAACAAGAATCATACTTGGACACCATGATTGGGCACCGAGTGTGAACATAGCGTTAGATGCCAAAAGGTTGTTGCACATTTACTTGAGTTCATCTGGTAAAACAAACCAAATGTTTTGAAACATGGCATAATTCAATTTCAGTCAGAGCTGCTGCCTGTAGAACCTTATAACATAGACATGAAATTTTGTCTCGTTGCTCCTCACAGGTTGCCTTCATGCCATACCGTGTAAATGGTCAGTACATCATGGAGGGTCTGGCATCAAGTTTTCTATTCTCCATGGGTGGTCTGGGCTTCATTATCTTGGATAAATCCAATGCTGTTGGCATGTCTAAACTGAACAGATTCCTCTTGCTATTCCTGGGTTTTGTGTGCGTCCTAGTCTCTTTCTTCACATGCAGGGTGTTCATGAGGATGAAACTGCCGTAAGTATTGCATCGTTGTAGTTTTGACAATCCTTTTTACAGCAGAAATTGGCTATAATTTATGGCTACTCAACTACTCTGGGGAGCAAGTTCCTGAAAAGAGAACACTAAATGTAAAAAGTAAGTGAGAGGTGTGATAGGCATGGGGGTTTCTTTTAAGTTTTCAGCAGGAGGACAACTGGTTTTCACAGGCAGGCAAAACTTTTACTTCTAATATAAC